GTAAAATAATTGATATGAAACAGCCGTCTCTAATGTCATGACCCCATCTCACCACATGAAAGTGGCAGAAATGACAATGATCAGCTGACGCATTTTTCTTGGCCGAAGTCAGAGCGCGCGGCCCGACGCACCACCACCGCACCATAAAGTATGAGCAGAAGCCACCTGCGGTAGACGGCGCCCAAAGCCAGGGCCCCGGTAACGTGAGGTAGCCGAGTCGGGGCAGCGTGCGCTGACCCAAGTCGGGGCCGCGCCTTTGGGCGCGGTCTACCGCATCCCCGGGCAGCCCCGGGCTATCACATGACACCGGGAGGACGCGCGGCCCCGGCTTGGGTCAGCGCACGCTGCCCCGACTCGGCTACCTCACGTTACCGGGGCCCTGGCTTTGGGCGCGGTCTACCGCACCACCTAACAGGCGTGTTCGAAACCGCAGGAGATGATGATGAACGGGTTTATCGAAACTTGATTGGACGAGCCTATCGGTAATAGCGATTTCAGTGTGTGCATTTATTGTTCATAGTGGTGTGAAATGTGGTTGGGGTACGACCGACAACCCGTCGGGGCGAATTTCGCACTGGGGTACTCAAAATTTGAAGAATTTAAGACGTTTCCATGAGTTTTGAAGGTATGGATAAGTTCTAAAAATCCGGTTCTCCTTATCTGGGCCATTAACTCCATACGGTCCAGGAAAGCTGGCGCACTACCTTTAACGATATGGACAAGACAGCAAGTAATTTTTGGCGGGCGTCGCCCTGATTCCTATGGCTTTGCAAATGCAATCTGTTATGCAAACTTTTACACTAAACGCGTATCAGCTCTGTTTTTCTTTTTGCCAAGTCAGCTTCATCGCGGTAAGTCTACGTCTAACTTACCCCTCCCCCACTCCGCGTATGATTGATTTTGGCGGCATAGTCAAGGCCAAGGCGTTGCGTGCGACTGCATAATGACCTGGCTCCCTCCCCTCCCCTCCCCTCCCCTACCGTCTCCCCTCCCTCCCCGTCCCACACCGTCCCCCCCCCCCCCTCAGCTGCCCCTCCCCTCTTAGGCCGCCGTCCCGCCCCTTCCCCCATCGTAAATGCGCGGTCAGGCGCCAGCGGCCGGAGACACACTCTGATGTTGCACGCGCGTTGCGAGTGTAATTTGACACACTGGCGCAGTGTAGTGCGAGCAAAAACAGTGTGTTACATTGTTGTCCGATGGTTGTGTGCGAGAAGTATTGAACACTACGCTACGCTACTACGTTGTTCTTACACGAGCAAGATAAACATAGTGGAGAGCGGCATGATTGCTTTGCATGAGTGCATTACTGCGTTACGTGTAATAGCACGCATGACGTGTGTATTTAGGGCGATATAGCACAGTCCTTGCCTATATGTCCCTGTCACATATACAATGCAGGACCCTGCTTGTGTAACATAACATATAGTGCTCGTATGACCTGTCATGTCGGTCGGTAGCTTGGTGTCCCTGCTGCACCTTGGTAGCTTAGCCGATGTTGGAGGGCCTTGTCGTTGTCGGGTGGGGAGAGAGCTGTTTTCGTCGAGTGCTCTTCTCTGGCTCTTGGGAATTTTCTCTGCGGCACATAGCAAGGTTCTTTACACCGATAAAACCTGCACGATTCTGGTATAAGAACTACTATGAGATGGGAAAGGGGGTAGAGAAAAACGTCTTTATATTACCTAACGCCAAACATTTGACGTAGACGTTAGTAGCAGTCCTGTTTCAACTGGACAGAAAATGTATTTTTGTTGTTGGGACGAGTCGATCGCTTATTTCTTTGAATGCTGGTTTGGTGGCAATTTTGATTGATCAGCTGTTATTGTATAAGTGATGATTGACATCCCAACAGTCAATTAGTCAACCTAAAAAGCTCTTGAATATTTTTTAATGAAATAAGGACTTCTTACACAAATTTTTATGTAACAGAGTATGTTATTACATTTTTTACGCTGTCCTCCTTCGCATTGATGTATGCATCTGACATCGTTCCACAATCCACTCCACGTGATCGTAGTTATCATTTCATTGCTTGCAAGTTGCGACCGACAACTGGATGGGGCGTTCGCGGTGCCTGCTGCTTCGGCTGCTACGGAAGGAGAGAGTGGGGAACGTAAAAGGGCGAGGGGGAGAGAGAGTGTGGCGCTGGATGACACATCGTCTGACGATGAACGTTGGCAAGAGTCTGAAGGTCGGTGCCGGGGAACCACCAGTCTCTCGAGACACGTCTGCAGCGGTGTGCAATGCACGTATGCACGTGGGCACGCAGAAACGAGCGTGGGTGGCTGACGTCAATGGTGACTCCAGCCGTAGGTATGTAGGGTCTGGTGGTAGGGAAAACTCATGGTTGACGTTTATTGGCCAGCACATCAAAAAAGTTGTGGACGGGGAGGGGTTCGTGCATCATACCGAAAATAAATGACGGGCTGTAAGCATGGGGTATGGGTTGGGGTGGATAGAAGTCAACATCTCAGAAAACCGGCCACTGGTCTGGGAGACGATCGATCCGCCACTGGCCGTCTCGCAGCCGACATGAAACAGAGTGCACTTCAGAGACGACGGACGTGTTACAGCCGCGGGAATAAATGATGGCCTCGAACGCGTGTCTGTAGCCAGCCTCGTTGGTGGCTCTGAGAATGAAGTAGGCATGTGTCATGCCATGTGGAAGGATGGTGCTTACTCGTGAAGGGTATTCGTCTTCAAGGAAGAGCAAATGGGATGAGGACGTGATAGCTGACGGACACGGGACAAGAGAATGGGAGAATCCCCTTTACCACCCTACACTTAGATATAAATGATGATCGGATTCATTATAAGTACAACCGCTGGTCGTGTCCATAATGGGACAATCCCACTTGAAATGTGCAACGTGAAGAAGAAGAAAATATTCTAGCATCAGTTGCTAATCCTCCAAAAACGAAATGACATTTTTCAGAAGTATTTCACATCCACATTCTATGATTTATTCAATATATAAGTCTATGGCTATACTAACATGATACCTGCAACTTCACATTTTCATATCCCTAGACCAACACCCAGCCTGTTTCCGGAATCGCCCCGACTTCCCCCCTCCCAGACTGTGGGTGGGGGTAATAGTTAGCTACCCTGACTTCCGTGCCGCCGGCTGCCGCTAGCTGTGGTGTCGAGCACACCCTCCAATTACAGCTCGATATCGAATTTGGCCGACAGCGACATAGCCGGTCGACCGGCAGTGGTGGTGGACTGCCACTATATTGGTCAGGAGGGAGGGGGAGAGGGATAGTGGACACTCAACATCACCGAGAGCAACGGAATGAGTTTCAACGTCTACACTTGTAATGTTGATTTAAAACAAGTCAATGCCTAAAATAAAGTTTCACATGAAAATTGCAAAGTCGAAGCGTAAACAATTCGCTTCAAATCTCTGCTCCATTTGTCATATCATTTAGCCATAATTGTCGTAACTTTACAAAATCATGAGCAAGGCATTACTTTCATTTGGAACTGAGTTATCACTGTTATCAGTCGTTGAGCGCTATCAGCTTCTTATCTTTTTTATGTTTTCATGCATTCTCAAAACCGTAATTGTGACATGTCTTCCTGTTGCACTTTTTGGTTCTAAACGTGCGGAACATGACGTCAGTCTTTGGTCAATTTCGGTCGATCTATCCCAACCACCAAGCTGTTTTATGTCGATGATATAGATATTGGAAGGGACGATGAATGTCAAGTGGCGGATATATCGTGGGAAGAAGACAGAGAAAGGCCATGTTATCCTTCCTCTTTGATTGGACGCGACTGAAGTTGGGCTGCCGCTGAGTGTTACATAAATCTTGTTATCACTTAAGCTTCCTCATTATAGTTATAAGAGTAATTTATGTAGTGTTTCCAGTTCCATAGTTTCCAAGATTTCGATCAGATCTGCTGGTCAGATGCATTGCAACCTCATGAACATATGAGCATGCCCAATGCCCATTTTGAGATGAACTGCGACAGGCAGCTTGGTACCTGAGTTTTCAAATGAATGTTTAACTTCAGTGTTCAACCCACAGGAAATTCAAATGAATCAGCGCACCGCCCACACTAAATTCCTCCGCTCATTGTACAATGTACATATTTCCAGTGGATGCAACATGTAACAAATGGGGTGCCTACATATAAGAGATAATGGAACTTTCCCACAGCAGCGCATTAGCCCCGCCACAGGCTAACAGAGAGCATATATCGATCCTGCTGGCGCAATAATACCGTTCCGAGTGGCGCCGCAGCGGGGGCCTCTTCCTTGGTCTGTTCCCCTAGCTCCGGGCTCTTGTGCAACAGTTGGAACACCGCGGGATGGCTCGAGAACTATGGCAATATGCGACTTTGGTAAATAAGACTGCAACACAAAGGTAGACGAGTAAAGGAATGTTTGTCTCCGGTTTGGTGATAGAGATGATATCAGTGAAATATTTTAGGTATTTCACTGATATTGTGCCTGTATTGGCATATTTTTATTGGTCAACTCTCATCTAGCAGCATATATTATATCAATAACCTATAATTTATACAATCTTATCATTTTGTCGTCATCGAATAATTTGTAGGAGTACACTCTTGTTACTGAAGAAACAACATTTAAATGCGACATAAATATGCTATCATTGTTTTTGAACTTTGAATGCATCCCCACTCCCTACACACTGCAAAGACTTTGGCCGACCCTCTATGAAAATCTTTTGTCATCGTCCACTGCGCCTTGTGAATAAACACCGTAGCAGAGCAGTCATGGTAGCATCTGCAGCAGCAAGTGACTGCCGCTAAATCAACTCTACACTAACACCATGCTGAAGTCAGGTCATCGTTGTTTATCGGTCTGACGTTATCTTGCCATTGCGCTGTGATAGCTGAACCTAGAGCCTTGGCTGAAGCGCACATCGGTCAAGCGGTGTGTAAAACCAAAAACATCCGTCTCCGTGATTCCAAATGTACTCTACTTTTATCTAGACCACGCCTCATTTGAGCCGAATGTTTTGTTTCAGAGCCGAGTGTCCAGATATATCAGAGGACGCCGACTTTCTGCACTACAAGATTTACGCCGACAGCGTCCTGTTCCGTCTCGTGAAGACCGTGTGTGACGTCACAGGTCAGTGTCTGTGTGACGTCACAGAGCCGTGGCTGCTGTGTAGATTGACTCGCACCCCAGCGTGATGTAAATGGGAGATGTCAGGACGATTAGAGACCGTCATCGTCATTGAGGCTTAGGAGAGTCATCTGTTTAATGGTCCGCACCAAAGCGTTGTCTTTCTTTGCGATAAGTAGAAGCCTTAATTGGTGCAGTGCAGATGAAAGAGACATCCTGGACCACTACTTGGATTGGCTAGCGTTAGATGCTGACGCCAATGCTGCACGAATCGTGAATAGCTGCCTTTTGCAATGTGTGTTACAGAAATGAGCAAAAAAACGACACCGCCGCTGCTCAATGAAAATCCTCAAACAGAAAGCATGCAATGGTAGGGGAAGTTGGGGGAACGCCGAATACTTTTTTTCTGACGCCCGTAGCACGCAAGGTAGACAACATAAGCTATTCTTGTTGGCGTCATTCGAGAGGCCAGTCTTTTGCCTTTCAAACATACCAGGCGCATTTGATGAATTCGCATACCGTTAAGCGCACAAACTAGAAATATCAAAGAAGTGACTTTTTCGGCGTTGCCCCGGACTGCGGGAAAGCCGAAAATGGGAGAAATGATCTACGGGGAATGCCGAAATTGATGTTTTGCCATTTTATCTCAAACTTTATCCAGAATTCATCAAAGCTGACATGGATTTTAAGAGCTTGAGGACGCTTGGTGCACACTGGAAGTTATAATTGTGTGATATAATAAGAAAAGGCCAGGTAAATCATTCCTTAGAGGTAACAGGCCGTTGTGTCGGTTGAAAGTGTAATTTGTGTGACTAAAAATACGCGCTGCTATTCTACAGCAGTAAAGTCCACGTAGAGTGCTTTAACGTGCGTAATTGCACGTTTTCGGCATTACCCCAGCCAGCCATACTTTTATTTGCAGGCCCATAACTTTTCAACGTGCTGTATAAATTTCAAATAGGCAGCACACTTATGCAAAGACATGCTGAAGATTACTTGACCGAATTGGCCAGACAAACGGTAGCATAATGAGTAAGAAATGCAGCTTCAAAGGCGCATGTAGTACAAGGGAAACGTACCTTGAAAACGCTCTTGGCGCCCTCACAGCCGAAGTATTCCGAATGACGACTCGTAACAAACATGCGATAATTGTAGTCACTTAAAGTGACCATCCCACCTTAACATTAGTTTTGAGTTGAGATAGCCAAATTGGTGGCCATGGCCTGCAAATACCGGTTTGGGCACTCACAACATCGAAAAATGCTTTAATTCGGAGATATGGAATTTCAAACTTGCAGTTTTCGGATTCTAAGGGGCTAATGCATTGAGATGCCCCCTTAGAATTTGTGACGTCAGCGGTGATCTAACGATTTTGAAACCTTTTACTAAAACGTTTGGTAGCACGCGGTGGTATATGCTGCTTTGCGCGCAACAAATGCCGCACTTTCAAATAAAGTCGCTAGAAACAGCCGAGATACCAAAAAGTAAACAAAAGTAAAAGTCTAATATCTTGAAAACCGGTGAATATTTTTCGATGAAATTTGGTAGATATTCGTTTTCGCTCTTTCTGAACCGAGCGACATCACTTTCATGCCAATTCATTAACTTCTTTGAAGGTGGGAGGGTCCCTTTAAGCTTCAGAACATCACTGACATGTGGCATCCATGTCGTACGGTTTTCGAAATATCTTGAATTTCGGCTTTGCCCCAACTCCGGCATTGCCCCAACTTCCCCTATGGGAAAGGCACCTGTCGATGTAGCTTGGATGATTATTCATCATATCAACCCTTATCAATATCGATGGATAAGAGTAGGTATAGATAAAATAGTAGATACCTGTCAGTGACACTGTGTTTGGCAGGTCGGTCAGCGGACGACATTCTCCACTGCACCGGCCAGCACTTTCTTCCGTTTGCCGTCGATATTGGCTTCGGCGACATTATGAGGGGCATCGGCCAGACCTTCGAGGCGTTCCTGCAAAACATCGATTACCTGCACTGGTATGAACGGAGCTTTATAGCCTTGGCATGGTCCCTAGCGCTTTAGGTCAGGGGGTTCTCAGTATTGGACCGTCTGCGTGGCTTTACTTCATCGTACCTACCCTTTACGTAACCTACAACTGTGGTTGTAATAAATGCACAGGTAGATTTGAACTACTGCCATGACTGGGCTGTTACCTTGAAAAGCAAACGTGTGTTGAGTTTGTGCCATTTTTGCTGTTCCGTATCATTACATGGTTTGACAAATATTCTTTAAAACAAAACTTTGAGGGAAACATGCCAAATATACCTATGTAGCTAAAAAAAGACATAAAGTACAAAGTTAAACATATGCAATATGATTAATAAAAAATGGCGAATTTGAGCCTCATCTTTGACGTGAACGTTTCAAACATTTATTGCCTGCACGGCTTTGCTCTGTGTCCCGTAATTCGTGCTACCAAGTTCATTGTTTTTCTCAAACCATTATATTCCCAATCTCCCCTCGAAGAACACAAAACCGGTAATGTGCCTGAAAATGTGCAAACTAGCCCCGTTCGAGTAGCTAAGATGCGGTCCCGCCATTCCATGTAAAATGAAATGAACGATTGTTTAGCCTACCATGGCCCGTCGGTTAAAAGGGCGCTCAATCATTGAGTCAGCTTGTATGTGGTAGTGTTCACTCATCACTGAAATCGCTGTGGACCTAGAAATGTATAGGTGTGGTGACCTTTTGTCTTTGCGTAAATAAATAATGCGGCCTGCCCACACATTTTCGCACTTCAGCGGGCAGTGGTAAAGGTTAGAGCCATTACACGGTGAGCTTTGTTTAGCGTGCGTTCTGACGTCAGACATCCACCCCTTCAATGCTTCATCGTCCTAAAGTAAATGAAGCATCAGCCCATATTGAAACAACTATTAGATATTTTAGTTTCGAAGCAATTAGATATGACACATTCAGCTCGGATTGGATAGAGCTTCTATACAGTGGTGAAATGTTCAAGGTAGGTACGTTTTTCGGCTACTAGTCGTTTATTGTTTTCGTTTCGAATTTTCGACCTTCGCATCGAGGTCATTGTCAAGAAACATATAACAATGACAATGACATGCATCGTGAACACGTTTGAAAAAATAGTACGGTCATCATATCTAAAAACGTGCAAGTAACCCCTCCAGCTATTTCTGACCTGAAAATCTGTACCCAAAATTAATGAGGAAAAAAGTGTATGAATAGAGCAAAGAATGAATGAATGGCTAACTGACAGACTGACTGACTGACTGACTGACTGACTGACTGAATGAACGAATGAATGAATGAATGAATGAATGAATGAATGAATGAATAAAAGAATGAATGAATGAATAAAAGAATGAATGAATGAATAAAAGAATGAATGAATGAATGAATGAATGAATGCATGCAGTACATGAGACATACAAACAGGCTGTGACACTTTAAAATACATGCTTAAAATCTAGATTTTAAGCATGTATTTTTAATGTGTCACAGCCTGTTTGTATGTCTCATGTACTGCATTCATTCATTCATTCATTCATTCATTCTTTTATTCATTCATTCATTCTTTTATTCATTCATTCATTCATTCATTCATTCATTCATTCATTCATTCATTCAGTCAGTCAGTCAGTCAGTCAGTCAGTCAGTCAGTCAGTCAGTCCGTCAGTTAGCCATTCATTTTTTCTTTCATCTATTCATACACTTTTTTCCTCATTAATTTTGGGTACAGATTTTCAGGTCAGAAATAGCTGGAGGGATTACTTGCACGTTTTTAGATATGATGACCGAACTATTTTTTCAAACGTGTTCACGATGCATGTCATTGTCATTGTTATATGTTTCTTGACAACGACCTTGATGCGAAGGTCGAAAATTCGAAACGAAAACAATAAACGACTAGTAGCCGAAAAACGTACCTACCTTGAATTAAAGGGACTATCCCACCTTTAACATGGGGTTTGAGTTGAGATAGCCAAGTTTGCGGCGAGGTTCAGAAACCACTATCTATCTAGGTTGCAACCCCCGCGGCCTCTTGGTGTTGAAGAAATTCGTTCCCTTCATTTGAAAATGGGCCTTGCGCAAGTCCCTATCTTCAACATGGAGCGACCGTTAGTGTGACGTCACCTCGTTTAGTCATTCTGATTTAACCCACGAGCCGCTGGGGGGGGGGGGGGGGCATAAAGTTGCCCCCCCCCTTTACGTTTTGTGAAATATCTCCGAAACCTGATGAGCTACGAACGTGAAACTTGGCATAGCTTCAAATGAATACCTAGGCAATGTTTGAGGAAAGTTTGGGGGTTGTAGCACCTAAGATGACGTCACAGTGACGTCATAAAGTTTTGTCGTTTTCCGATATGGACCGTTTCTGATGATGCTGAGCATGAAACTCAACTGTAAATGAACTAGACAGCACCTGCTGTCATCCTAAAACATCTAACTACACTTCCATCTAGTTTCTGACCAATAATCGACCCTTTATATTCGGTCCCATATATCTGATGTATCGTGAGGAATATGAGAGTCGCAAATCTATAATTTCACTTATGACGTCACTGTGACGTCATTTCAAATGGGATCGACGCCAAATTTGAACACAACCTCGGCTAGGTATTCAGGAAGATGTGTGCAAAGTTTCGCTTCTCTATCTCTTCGCGTTGCGACGATATCGTCGCAGAAGTAAAGGGGGGGGGCAGCTATATGCCCCCCCCCCCCAGCGGCCGGCGGGTGGCGCGGAGGCCCAGCGGCCGCCGGGTTAAATGGGTTTGTTCGTTGAAAAATCGCTTAAAACTTGGTCTGAACTTCGTTGTGGTGCCTACAGAGTAGTGGTGTCAATCGGAACTTGAATCTTCGGAATTCCGATTTTGTCCAATGTCCAATTCGGAATTCGGTTGGACAATGGCAGCAGGCTTTGGACAACTTTGGACAATCGTTTGCTACACCTCAACATTTTTAAAAAGTAGTCGTGTTTAACATTAACCCGGTTTACATAGCATATTTGACGAGGCTCTAGCTCGTTAATGTGGCGATAATTTCGATGCAGTGGTCTTCAAATATTTAGAGGGGATCATTTTGTAAATTGTTAAGCACCATAAGCATCTTTTGCAACATCACGGACGGAGATATAAGCTTGCAACAAACCCTATGTAAAAGCGTCTATTGATTGGCTATTAGAAAGCTCAGCTTTCGATATGATGAACACTTTTGAGCTTGTAACAATACATGAAAAGCAGATTAAATAACAGTGTTGAGTGTAAACTATTGCGTAGGTGTCGGACATCTTTGGACAAATGGCTGGCTTGGGCATTTTTGGACGGACAATCAACGTAAGCATTGGACATTGGACGGACTTTGGACATACGTTTTCTGAAATTGACACCACTACTACAGAGTAAAAAGAATCAGCTTTATGACAGTAATGTGGCCTGGGGAAGGAGGTAATTTTGGGCTGTGACGTCACATATTTGAAAATTTGTGTTTGGAATATGGGAAGCCTAAGATGTTTAATGAAAAATAAATGCCAGAACCGTGTTCCTGGTCATCCAATCTATAAAGTCGGGCACAATTTAACTGGTTTTAACAACATTTTAGAAGGTGAGATAGTTCCTTTAAGATGTCTAGTCGTAAAAGCTTGAAATCATATATTGGTGAAATGTTATTAGATTAGAAGTGACGGGTGGAGCTAGAACATTTTCTCAAATCATCCGCTTGCAAGAGGACTGAGCATTGAGCAATGAGCAGCCCTGTCCGACCATTCATTGACGAGATGATGAAGAGGGAAAGAAGTTCACTGCATGAGACAATTTAACTTTGCAGGATGAATACGATAAATTATCCGATAAACTAACTCGCGCGTGACTGGGGGAGGGACGTACAGAACCTTATATCTTATAAGTATTCTTTCTTATAAGTATCTTTCTTATAAGTTTCTTATAAGTATCTTGTACAGAACCCCCTGCCTTTTTTCGGCAACATCTTTCAAACCGTTTGATGTATCGACACGAAACTAACGGTACCTTCAGCAGCATTAATTTGACACCTCGTGTCCAAATTTCAATTTTCTAGCTACCATAGGTCGGCTGAAAATGACGTCAGAGTGACGTCATATCGGCCGATGTTATGCAAGACATTGAACTGCGACAATCGCTCTCAAGAGGTCAATTTTTAGGCTACATCTAATTTCTTTGCATGAGTGGTCTGGAAATAAACGTGACTATCAAACTGCTATATCGGGTTGTCTAAATTAAAAAAAATCGAAAATATACCTATTTCATTACTAAAAAGTAAAAGATATATTTTTTTCAAAAAGTTTTGACTTCTTGTAAAAAAAACGGAGTATATGTAATAAATTGCCCACCGATGACCTACTCTAGCAAATTCTAGCTCAATATCTTATCAAATGGCCAAGTTATACGCATTATCGTCGAAATTTAACAATCACAGATTTTTCAAATCCATTTTATAGTGCATTTGTGACATCGTTCAGCAATATAAATAGCACCATCGTGTACATGAACTCAAACTGCATATGATAGCACCTTTTTATCTGACAAATTTATTTTTAAAATTTAATCTTTTTGACCTGAGAGTGACCTGACCTCAGCTAATTCGGTTGAAAATGACCTTAAATAACACCGACGGCTTTGTTTTCGAAATCTATGATTAAAATTGAGCATATAACATGTGTCATGTGACCGATACATGATATAAAATTTTCGTGACCTAGGATGACCGGGTTTTGACCTGAAAAATTAGAAATACAAGTTTGTTACCGCTAGGATATGTACGCCGGCATATATCAACGAAAGTGTAAACCAAAAATGAGCCTGGGCTGATCCGACGTGTTAGCCGGCGGCCAGAGCTGAAATTGTGAAAAAGCCAAAATGTTTATTATAATTATTACTTTGTCCTGAACTGTGACGTCATCAGCGAACTCGAGGTCAATGAAATCAGGTTGCGCAAGACAGTTTTTCAGGGCTGTCAGCCGCCGTTTGAATTTTGACAATCGGCCCGTGATTTCCGGAAATAGGAGAGGGGCTCTGTAGAGCCCCTCCCCCCCCCCCCCCAGTCACCCGCGTTATGGAAAATGCCCCAGTCATGCGCTGCGCGGGTTAAATTGCTTTTGTCTGATAGTGCTCACCACCGGCCGTTGCCGTCGATTGAAATCAATATCTGATGCAGTCGCTAAGTGAATGTAAGGTGGCACCTGCCGAAGGAGTTCCTCCGGTAGAACTGTTATCCGGGGCAGGGGTTCATTAGCAGCTCATAGTCCAAAGCAGGGATTGCTATGTAATATGACCACTAATCTAATCAGAACTAACTAATCAGAACGAAAGCCGCTCGCTGTTGGGTAAGTACCCGGTCGCCTTTTCATCCAATAGTCGCCAGTGTTTGATGCTAAAATCAGTCCCAGTGAATGGGTGCAAAAGCCCTCAGTGGAAAGCTTTGATTTATTAATGGTTTCATTAATGGTTGTGGTTGTTGGGGAGTGAGGAGCATACAATTGGTTACATCTTTTAGGGCTGCAAAACTGCCTACAGCAAACTTCCATACCTCATTTCAATGAAAGCGACTGGTGGCATTTAAACTTTGGAAGGGCTATCAGAGTTAGCTCCGAAGTGAAGTACCAAAGTTTTTGGTTAGTAAGCACGTACAATAAATAGATGCCGGAGCAACTATTACATTTTATATCTAATCACATATGCCCTTGGGTACATCGCACCGGCATAATCACATAATCGCCTGGTGATCTGCTCACTTCTCAGTGCTAAATGTGACAGTGATTTTCCGCTGTAACACCCAATAGGTGCTGTAGCATTACTTATTACAGCCTCCGACAGTGAATGACTCATGGAGCCTGCGGCTGCTCTCATATATTGCCTACCCTTTGATAGGGTATTCAGGGTCCACTCCACATAAGCCGATCAAGTGACGGTAATCGGATATGGGAAGGCCTGCGGATTGAACGTCATATAGACTGACCAGCGAGTAATAGTCGTGACGCCATGTGTAAATCTCTTCTCTAAACCTCTGACAGTGCTTTGGCTAGTTACGTTATTGCATCACAATAGTTAAGTACGTTTGCTGTTTTTGACTTTTGTGCATATTGCATAAACCAACGCGGATGTCGCCCTTTGCACCATATCATACTGTCTGGTGCTGACACCTACAGCTCATTTGCCAAACCACAGTTTCTTCCCTCACCCGCCAGGTATCTGATGAGCACCGCCTTCTCTGGCATACAGTCGCCGTCGTTCCGGCCGGAGCTGACCTCTGACCGGGAGGGGGACGCCGTCACACTCAACTACTACTCACGGAGGGACTGCTGCAGCGGTATTGTCACAGGTTGGCGGCGGTGTCTCGCAATATTTATTGGGTTGTCGTCACTCGCCTCAACTGTGTCTTGCTTACGGGAGGACTAAAGAAGAGATATCGTACAGGAGAGGCACGGCCTCAGCCCCGGCGACTCACTAGGGTGCCCGCCCAGACAAATGTCTCCCCGCCCCCCCCCCCTAATTTCTATAATCCTTCCGGCCCTGAAATGATCTTGTCAGACTGAAAGGGCCTGGCTCATCAAAACAAAACAGAACAAACAACAAACAGGAGAGGCGGGCTTTGTGATATCCTAAGCAATATGATACCGATATATGTAGGTATAGAGGCGTGGTTAAGAAAGCACATGGCAGTTTTACAACTAGCTTGCTTCTCCTGTTACACCCTGTAGATAATCCGTCGTTTGGTGCTTCTCGTGTATTCGGTGTGATCGGTCCGTCATCCGTGCTCACGTTCGCATTTTTATTGCTGCGCTAAAAATGAATTGATCCGTAGGCCTTATTGGCATCCGTAGGCATTAGCGGTACAATCATGACCATTGACCAATTTCCTACACTGAGACCACTCGCCTCTGAGACCTCTCATTTTCTTGTCGCAGGCCTGCTGACCATGGTGGCCAGGTGTATCTTCAACATCCACATCGACATCACCAAGCTGAGCGTGCAGAAGGAGATGGTGTCCAACCGGCCCATGGTGCACGTCCGCTTCAGGTGGGGGGGGGGGGAGGCGGAGGGTCGGGCCAAACGGTCACACAGCAGATGAAGAGAGTGGCATGCTCCATTGTTCATGTCCAGTCAACCCGGTTTTACGCTATACGGTCAAATACATCGACTGATCCAGGTTACTAAACATTATAACACTTATTAGAGATGTCAATCGGATACCAAATGTTTGGTATACCGATACCAAACCGATACCAACTTGGTATTTGGTATTTCAAGGCGAGTGCATTTGGTATTTTGTTGGTATTATGAATCCTCACTCATGTAAAAAAGGCTGAAAATTTGGTAAAAAGTTGATATTTTCCTCATGTTCCCAAGTTGGTTTGGTTTTGGTATTTCTCCACGGTTTTGGTTGGTATTTGGTTTGGTATCGGTATCACGATTTTCCGTAATTGACATCACTAGCACTTATATTACACAATGCACGTAATTCACGGCTGTAATATCTAGGTATGCATGGTAGTACCTTCTTGCTCAACCGTGTCTCTTCATATGACTTGTCGAATTCATTTGCCCTTTTTCAGAATAACGCAGCATCCAATCGGTCTGCCTCACATAGGACTGAACTGGAAGAAAAGATGGAACTTGTCAAAGCTGAACTCCAGCCACAAAAACACAGGAATGTCCGTCGCAGCAAAGCTGTTCGGAAAGATTCATCCATATCACATCGTTTTTGATAGGTAAGTAACCAGTTATTTTGCAAGTCTTCAAAGTTTTCTTTTTTGAGGGGGGGATGTCTCAACTGCTGTGAGCTGACGTTATTTTGTTCCTGCAGAAGGCTGGTGATCCTGCAGACGGGGGTCGGCCTGATGAAGCACGTGCCGGAGACGCAGGCGGACGGAGCGCGGATCGACACCATCTTCTCGATGACGTGGCCAGAGGTGTCACTGACCGTACAAAACATTGAGAGGTTCTCAAACCTGACCTTTCAGTTTGAGTACCGCAAGGCGTCCGACAAACGCTTCTTTTGTATGAAAGGTAAGAAAAGAGTCAGCAAAGGGGAAAACAGGCTTGGTACAAAGGTGCGGGTGTCAAGTAATTTATTTTATTTATTTACGAGTATTTATACAGTTTACTTAATTTTATTATTCGTTATGCTGCTATGTTATCTAAAGACCATTATCTAATCCTATCCATTACCATTATCTAAAGATCACATAACATGCACATTGCACCCTAAATTAGAAATAGACATCCTGTACGATAGAATATAGGGATGGCCTATTTCTTCTTATGATGGTTGAGCTGAGCCGTTTGACCTGCTCTACTTTTTCAGGCACTATAGTTGGAATGACGGCCAGCGCCGAAGCTCACCCTGCAGAGCTGGCCAACGCCCCTCTTTTTCTCTACCTGGGATCACCTATGGCACGCAGTGTGCGAGATCTGGAAAAAATGTCTCTGAAAATATCCGATATCCCCAGTCATGATTCGACGAGAGATCTCATACTTCTCAAGGACCAACGCAACATAGAGTTTGACGTGATGTGAGTTTGAAAATCTGCTGTGGATTGTACCGCCTTCAGAAACTAGCGGACCATGCCTTCAACGTTATGCGAGATCGTATGTCATCTTTATACGCAACTTCGAATGCATTGTTGATATGATGCGAGACAAACCATCCGGTGGTCCGGTGATGACCTGACCCTGCGCTTACCTAGTCTAGATCAGTTGTGACCTGACCTGACCTGACCCGTTACTGACCTGACACGTTACTGACCTGACCCTTTACTGACCTGACTTGACCCCTCTCCGCAGGCAACAGCTAGAAAAGACCACATCGGAACTAGCCGGTACGGCGGCTGCCCTTCAGAAGGAAATGCGACACACAGATGAACTTCTTCACTCAATGATCCCGCCCCTTGTAGCGGAGAAGTTGAAGCGGAACGAGCCGGTGCAGGAGACGTTTGACGAGGTTACAAGTAAGTACCGGGGATATTGGAGTGGGGTGGGTGTGAGGGGGGGGGGGTATTGATTGGTGATATTCGCACTAATATGCTAACGGTGACGGTGGCGTTGGTGATGGTGACGGTGGTGGTGTCGGTGGTGAATGGTGATGTCGTCAGTGACCATGATGGTTTGATCCATAGGACGAGGTTGCAATCATTGGTGCCTAAATAAAATCATTGGTGCTGTTTACACTTCCTTTCCACTAATCCTTCCTTGAGACCGATTAAGTAATTTTTTTTTGCAATTTCTGTAAAAGAAAAATATTGCATAGAAATTCGTATCAGACCAGATGATTTCAAAATTAGGTATATCAGAATTAGGTCTGACACACCGTTGATAGCTCAATAGAAGCTCTCGCTCAAATATGGCACAGGATATATATCATGCTCTCACAAAAACTGTACTCTCCGCCCCGCCCTGCATTGCGTTGCAACTGCCCTCGTGCTCTGGTGGAGCCACGCGCCTGCTATCACCCCCGCCCCCCCCCCTCCCCTCCACCGCGACGCCCGGGCCAGCTACGGGGAACCGAGGGTAACGGTGGGTATTCCCCGAAACCACCGGCCGCAGCCGCCCGCTGCTGCCAGTGTTGACACTGGGTGACCGGCCATTGGCTGAGCGGACAACGTGCCCGTATCAGGGAGCTGTCCTCACTCTAAAATGGCGGCTGGAGCGTGGTTGGACGTCCTATAAGTTGGTTGAATGATCTGAAAAGTTTTCGAGGGTCAAGCCAACGAGGACTCATTTTTTTAGTCACTATAAATGCAAATTCGTTGATGGTTTTGGAAAATACTAAATGATTGTGTTTTTCCACCTCCAGAGAGACAAGAGAGAACGCGAAATTTGGCGCGGAAACGTATTCCTTTTGCCAAAGAACAAAGCTACATATTTGACGAGACGAGCTCTATGTCAAACTCAGCGCTGATTTATATCCCAGCATTCGCTGCATTCTGAAACACTAATTAGGATGTTGAACGTTAAACTTTATCGCAGGAACTGTGTGACCAATTATGACATTTTTGTCAAGTTTCGATGTGATATTATTAACACAGCATAATATAATAGCATAAATAATAGCATAAGATAAATTTAAGGCGATACATGGTGATATAACGAGCAGCTTTGTGTGTATGCCAAACAATTTGTGGCCGTAAGAGTTATAGGCCTTTCTTCATCTAATGTGCAGGTTAAAATGAATTTAATTTTTTGCAATTTTGACAACACACTTAACTTCTATTTTTAAGAAATTTAAACTTGTTTCTCGAAATGGCGTCACCGTTTTTCCGATATCACCGCTAAATGGAGGTGGACTACGTTATGGGCCACCTGAGTGTGCAGTTCCGCTTAGGGCTTCACACAAATGCCATTCTTTTTGCAAAATCGAGAATAACTCGAAGACTTTGTTATCGCCTATCGGTCACGCGGAAATCGTAACGCTAAGACGCACGGGGCTCCGCACCTTAGATTGGACTCAGCATGGTGTACATTTTCCACCCAGTTCGGCAACAATGCACAAAAGTTTTTACTTGCCCCCCAAAAAAACTTTTGCCGTTTAAAATGGAGCATGGTGCATCGCTATGAATTCCTATCCACTGATAAAGCCTTCGAGTCATTCTCGGTTTTGTCGAGAAAAAAAAGAATATCCACCACACAGTGAGACGATGGTTGTATGTACATATATAAATGTGTTTAAACCTAAGTACCGTCTTGAAGCTCCCATGGAGCATCACTAAAATTCTATGATGAAGATGCACGAAATAAGTGAAGGCTCTGTAGTGTTCGCTCCAGACGAGTATTTCAAGGGCACTGTTACTATTTGCAGGAAAATGCTGGTGTGAAATAGAGATTCTTGAAAGTGTTGGAGGAATCCCTACCAACGACAAATGGCGCAGGCAGACTTTTCCAACGTGTGATGACTCTGATCGAGAAGCCGTTTTGGCTGGCGATTATGACGGGATAGAGCTTGATTTAATTTGTTTAAATCCGACCAGGGATGTCCCTCTAGTCATTCGCTGTCGTGCTATTGAATAATTCCTGCAGATTCAGGTTCAGCATCCCAGGCAGCACGTTGTACCTTGCGATCATGTCATCGTCGACGTCTATAGTGAAGGGAAGGAAGCTTCAGGGACATTAGTCCGTCTTGGTACCGTAGGTGGCGTAGTTCCTGAACCAGCTTGGCCGCTCGGCACTGGACTCGTAATTCGATGAGGAGATGGTCCGCCCGGTTAAATGGACCCCATACGATGTTGTCGTACTCCAGAAGCGGTTGTACTTGGTCGGGATTGAATGGATCGTCTTGTCCAGTAGGCTGAATTGACCGTCATATCACGGCCATAACCCGTGAGGCGTGATGTCTTGTTGCTGCTTTCTAACGTTCATCTTTACATCAACGGACTGTCCTTTCCTCTGTTACTGCTGCAGTACCATCTCTCTCAAAAAGTAGTCCTGTTTGTTGGCATGGCAACTGACGTGAAGGGCCTTACAACCAGGGATGCGGAGCCGTGTAAATTTCAGACGGCTCCGGCTCCCGCTCCGGCTCCGGAGAAAAAAAAATCGGTTCCGGCTCCGGCTCCGGCTCCGGGTGAAATGCCATGGCGGCTCCTTCTCCGGCTCCGGCTCCGAGTAAAATGGTCCGGTTCCGGCGGCTCCGGCTCCGGCTCCGGCTCCAATACTCAGTACATCCCTTATGCAATTAAATACGGGTGGAAGAAAAAAGACGGTGGGATTGGTGCACGTTGCTTCTGTATTTGCATAACAAGGCTATTTTCATATTTAAATGCCACATGTTTTACTGCCTTGAACTGTCAAACCGAACTAGGTCAATAATTTTTTCCTCTTCAAAAAAAGGAGCCGGAGTCGCCCTCTTTTATGACGGCTCCGGCTCCGGCTCCGGGCTATATTGTTTCACGGTTCCGGCTCCGGTTCCGGCTCCGGGCAAAATATGCCGGCTCCGGCGGCTCCGGCTCCAGCTCCGGCTCCGGCTCCGAACCCCTGCTTACAACTACTTTGTATCTTCGAGGTTCAGCTCCTACTCGTCGCCTCTCTGTAGATCAGCTTCCAAATAAGCTTGAGATTGAGAAGTCAATGCGTGCATTTGGCAATATACAATCTCATATAGCTTGCTGTCATCGGCAGAGACTTAGGCAAGTGGTTCATTACGGAGCGAGCGAAGCGAGCGGAGTCTTACGTAGAATAACGGAAATTTCTGAGCATGAGCGGCCGGCCGCCCGGCCGGCCGTGGTCACGATTCTGCGACGCTTATATCTCAGCAACCACTTGACCGATTTACATGCGGTAATTTTTGTAGGGTAGCTTCATTCCTTCTACCAAGTATTGGACTATTCCTGATGCATGTGGGTGACCCCTTATGCACGTGCCACGTGCAAAACGAAGAGGTGTCAGTTTTGTAATTGTTGCAATATCTCGGTAACTACTTGGCCGATTGCGCTGAAAGTTGGCATGTAGGTAGGCACCCACTAGGCACTGCATATCCATGTGCCAGAATTGGGGTGCTGCTGCACGTGCGCGCGTGCAGGGGTCGATTCCAGATCTCGAGAACGGCTGGACCGATTGCGCTCAAATTTGGTACACGGTTACGGGGCAGTTAGTAGGGTGCCGTGCACAAGTCAGTTGGGACCCATTTTGCACGTGCGCGCGTGCAGGGTGCCGCTTCCAGATCTCGAGAACGGCTGGGCCGATTGTGCTCAAACTTGGCACATCGCTAGAGACCGGTTAGTAGGGTGCCGTGCAGAACTCAGTTGGAGGTACCCCCTCGAAATTTCGCACGTGCAAGGCCCACCCTCCCGCTCGCTCCGTTAGTCGCCCCAAAAGGCGTTATACTGGAATAGGTACAGGATAAACAGTATAGGCGCCAACACTGACCCCGGCGGGACCCCACTTGGTACTGAGATCCAGTCCGAACAGGGGCTGCCGACCGTAACCCTCTGCTTGTGTCCCACCAGAGAAGCCTCATCCATCGCAACGACCCACATCGAAGTTCATGTGCTGTCGCCGTGTTTAGGCGGTGTTGGATGCCTTAACACGCGCACCGACGGGGGTCTGCGCCAACTTCGCACCGAAGGGGGGGGGGTGGATGACCGCCCCCCCCTGAGATCTCCAGAACGAAGCAAGATAGTAGAGATGTCAATCGGATACCAACTTTTTGGTATACCGATACCAAACCGATACCAAGTTGGTATTTGGTATTTCAAGGCCAATGATTTTGGTATTTTGTCGGTATTGTGAATCGTCGCTTATGTAAAAGAGGCGGTGAATTTGGTAGAAAGTTGGTATTTCCCTCATTTTCCCCAAGTCGGTTCGGTTTTGGTATTTTCTTTTGGTTATTGTTGGTATTTGGTTTGGTATCGGTATTACAATTATCCGTAATTGACATCACTACAAGATAGCGACAAGCGGTAAACGGCATCGGATACGCACGGTTAAGATCTACAATTTTTACAAAGGTCATTTTCAGGTCAAAGATGACGTCACAGGGGTCGAAAAAGTCAAAATGGCGGCGCTAGATATGGAGAGAGTTTTTCTCGAATAACTTTCGAATTAGTCAAGATGGGAACAAACTAAGGGCATCATCGTGATCTTCTCGTCAATCCGCATCGAATGATATATATGTTGACCTCGAAAGGTCAAGGTCAAAGGTTGACCTCAGGTCACGTGACCTCGAGGTCATCATGCATATCATTCGATGCGTCTTGACGAGCTGAACACAATGAGACCATCCACGCGGCTGTATCTTGTTCCTGTACGGAGTTATTTGCCAAAAACCTTTGGTGACCTTTGATGACGTCACATGACCTTACAGCTGCTCAACAGCAAAACAGACCTCAAGGTAGTGAAGGTTGATCGTATATGAAGTCATGTATGGTATATGGGGCCATTCCGACCCGTTTTAGTGGTAAAAACAGGGAGTTGATTTTTCCCCTATTGACTTATAATGGGGAGGTCGCGAAATTGACCT